GTACCTGTACAAGCACTCTCTCATGGGAAGGGTCTGCGCCACAGCAGGGGAAATTACAGTACAGTTTCTACACTTCAGCATCTGAAGTCCCAAGTTCCCCTTTTTGAGCTGATATGAAAAGACAGATTGTGTGATTGCAAACTTCTCTGTGTCTGCTTCATTAGCGCTTGGAGTCAAAAAAGGTGGCAAATGTGCACATCAAAATGATTAGAGCGGGGTGGGGGGGGTCATTGTAAAGTTAATCCTCACTGATTAAAACAAATCAGGCAGTGAAATCTCTCAAAATGAGCTGTCAAAATGCATCGTTTGATTTACGAGATGAATATCTTCTCTAAATATTAATCAGTTTACACGAGTGGAAGAGCCACCCTCTTCCATTCTACACCACAAAGTAATCCTACATGCATTTAGTGAAGGGGGTCATGTCAGGGTATGTAACAAGGTGTGGGATTTATTACATTAAAGATCAAAAACAATTTGAATTCCTGGGATGTGATTGGAGAACTCAGACTGCTGACCTATTTAGATTTTTCTATCAAAAAACTTCACTGCACAGACACTTGTGTGGGTGACACTGATTGTGAGACATGTTGACATACTGTTGATATATTCACTGACAAACGTGCTGCAGCAATTCACATATACAATGAGACAGTGACAGTGCAAAGCAGACTGTAGACTAAAATTATTTTTATACATCAGAGTGGAATCAGCACCTCCATGACACAGCCTCTCCAGAAACTGAACATTTTGAGCTTCACAAAGTTAATATTTCTTGCTGTGCCGTTTCACTGATTGCATAATATCATATACAGTAGGTGTTGCTGTTATTGTTTCCACCGCCTGTGTATTTAAGCAGCCTGGTGAAGTCCGATAAGTACCTCCTGTAAACGCACATTGTCCAGGTTTCGTATTAGAAGCTATACAATGCATTAAATAAATTATTATTTAAATTAGTAAAACAATTTATCCATGAACATACAGCCCAACAACTCCCCGATTATATTCCACTTTATCACAGCAGTCACACTCGTTGAAAACGAAGACAACCGTTTTTCTCCCATTCCTACAGCAAAGGCGTCTTCTACATGCTCATGTGCACATGCTGATGATGCATCGTTTCCCTCAATGCATCTTTACTTGCAGAGTCAAATAAAACAAAAAACAAAACATATCTTCACTGCAATGACAAGAAAATGACAGGCACCACGCTGTGCCTACCAGCGCAGTTAAATTTTTTTCTATTTGACCAAAGAGGAGAGTGTCGCTACTAACAATAGTTAACACAAAGACATCAGGCGTGCCTGTTTAAAATGCAGTAACCATGGGAACCCTAGCCTAACATTGTCTGTCAAGCATATCAAAATAAGATAAGAGGGGGGAAAAAAGAAAAAGAACAGCCTTTATGGATTATTTTGGTAGTTGGCGCATACAGACTCCTAAGATAGAAGAAGTGGTGAACAATCACATGGCACCACGATGAAGAATGTGACAGTTCATGTAGACGTGGGCACACACTATACACTATGTAAGATTAGTGGTACACTCTTTGGGATCATTTGTTGCTCACAAATCTGGTCAAACTATTCAAATCACATGTGCAATGTATATGTATGTATGTGATGTACAAAATAGCAGTCAATGTAAAATTGGTCAAGTGGATTCTTTTATTAGAGAGATCATCTTATGACCTCTACTATACTAAAAAAATCAGTTCACCACTTTCTCATCTGCTCATACCATAAAATAATGTTTAATGGCATTTGAAAATTAATCAGGAGGATGAAAAGTTGTATATACACACGCAATATATTATTTTACAGTTATTTAAATCTACTCATCTTTAGGGCTGACCCCAAATAGTCTAAGATTCGATGCTTCGATGGGCGGAGCCTGATTCGACTGTCAATCTCACAGTCGAAGCTTCGCTGCGAAACAAGGATCATGCCATTTTGGCTATATGGGGGTGCTCAACATCTGATTTTACATAGAACTACCAGTTTTCTCCTAATAAATTAATATACAGCCTATTACAATATACATTTCAACGTTTAATGCTGTAAATAAATATGTAAAAAGAATAAAACTTTCAATAAATGTTTTGAAGTGTGTGAATAAATTCAAAATTGTAAACCTAACCCTGAGGCGTCAAGTGCGCATGTGTAAGCGTAGCGTGTATGTGTGCAGTGGCAGTGGAGGAACACTTGCAGAAGAGACAGAGCCCCAGCCTCACTGGTGTTGTGCCGAGTTGTCCGAACCTCGCGGGACTTTTGGATAATTTATCACCGTTGATGAACCGCACAAAGAATATTATATCGTTTTTAAATAGCTGGCTACTTGAAATAAACCCGCGAGGAACTGCGATGTCAGGACCTGACAATTCTGATTTGACTATGGGGACTTTGCTACAACCTTTAAGTACAAACTTTCATTTATTTCATTTAGTCATTCAGACTAAACAGGTCACCACAACTGAACTTTCAAGTGTGGTATCTCAAATGGCCTTTGGTTTTGTTTAATAATGATACATGTATATGGTCTCATGTATGCAGTTACACTCATTTTCTTCGGATAACGCACTTTTTCAAGTTTTAAATTGAAACACCGTCAGTCTAATCTTGTGATTGCATTCATTTGGCATTTAATGATACCAATAGAATATACCTTTGTCAAACTGTGTTAGCAGTCATAACTTTAATATGATGTTAGAGAAAAGCTCACCAGAAAATGGGATGTCTTGCTGAGTTTGGCACTGCATCCTACAACACATCATTTATGATAATAATGCAAAAAGTGACAGTTATTACATGCTGTTATCTTTAATATGCGTTTGAAAGCTCCTCTCATTTCTAAGGGACGTGAGTTTATCTTGTGGAGGATTCCAATTTGGCTGTGAACATACCACTGGCCTCGCTTCAATGAGCTATTACAAATCGATCACAAGATGACTTGAAATAGGACTCGAGGGAGAAGTGTACTTCCTTAAACAAGCACGCACAGGGAATTTACGTGCACAGAAACACACACACACACACACACACACACACACAAGTGCATCCTGAGGCTGTACAACACATGACCTAACCTTTTCCCTTAAGGCATGTGCATTGGTGACAGATTGCACAGAGGTTACACATTGACCGGAAAGTAATGGAGTCACCGCCTGTGAATGATCCACCATATAACCTTGCCTTCCCTGTTTTAAGTTTGCTTGAATGTCTCCTACATCTTACTTGTCATAGATAAGAGCAAATTGCTCCGTGGGAAATGTAGCATGTAATTTCATTACTGCATTACCTGTGGTGAGACTCCTTGAACCACCTTGACAACAGCCTAGAAAAGAAGTATTCAATACTTTTTCCTGTAGGTGTTTAACACAACATGCATCCACACAAAGAGCTTTGCCCTTTAATGTGAACAAGTAAAGGGGCGTAACAAAGGAGTGCCACACTGCTTATGGATGCGCCTTTGTAATGCACACTAGGGAGGCTGAAAGTAGAGCAGGTGAAATAAAGGAAAATGAGAAAATGAGAGAGGATGCATGGAGGGACAGAGGAAGGAATGGACAGATGGATGGATTTAAGATCTAATTTGCCCCCTCCCTGACTCTGCCTCCACAAATTCAGTATCTGGGAATTACTATAGCCTTTGGCATGGCTGCAAAGGAACCAGGAGCCAGATACAGGAGGGCTGTCTGTGAGAAGGATGAGGGCGAAGAGAAGGATGCATTACTGATAATGGCAACTTTTACAGTTTGACTAGTCTGGAGGTGTTTAAACAAAACTTGCTGAATCTTGCACTTATGCAGATTTGCTAGTAAATGCTCATATATTTTTTTTTTCCATACTATTACTGAAATAGCTGTGTTATTTGTTTCTGTCCACCAAAATGAAGAAGTCTGCTTTATATTTGTATGTTTCTTGTATCTGCTATAACTGTCAAAATCTGATCCAAAAATTAATGTTTTGTTTACAGTTTACAACAACATAACATCTCATTTGTAATTCAAATTGTCTGTACTCTCAGGAACACTTTGTCCGAAACGTAGGATAAGTTGCATTCCGACAACAGAATTCCTGAGAGAAACACATCCGAAAACAACTCATTAGGCTATTATGTGATATAAATATAGCTTTGAGTTGCAGCTTTTAAAATTTTGTAAATCTCAAACTTATCGCTGAGACGTTGAAAGTAGTAGGCCTATTTCTTGAAAGGCAATTTCCAACACCTATTTTCTAATTAACTTATTGACCTTTAAAATACAGTAGCCAACCTTGCAAGCAAGCAATCTGAGACATTTAGTTGAGGCCAGTGTGCTCAGTTTCTTTATCTATTGTGAAGTTATTTTAAAAACACCTCTACTTCCAGTTGAGTAGCCTACCCCACTTTCTCACAGTGCAATTCACACATTCGGGTGAGCTTCCGACTGCGAGGCACCCACGCCTGCCCCCTCTGCCACACCCGAGGCAATACACTCCGTATTCAATTAGCTAATTATCCTGAGCATCAGCTGTTAGCCTATAGCTCCACACAGCCTAGATAAATCACAATCTTTATATAGGCTGGCATGTCCAAGAACAGGTCTGAACAATTGTACGTGGGTTGAATGTGTGCAGTCGCCTACCGGAGCAGATCAGGCGCTATGTGATTCAGTAAGATGATAAGGTGCACCTGCTGACTCGTTCTGCCTGCTGGGCCCTGATGCATGCATGAAATGAAGAATGCCCTGATTCTATGCAGCTTATTAAACCAGCCTGCCGACCATATTGGTCGGATTAAAGCTATGTGGCAACACCCTCTTCTTTCGTCCATGACACTTGAAGCACAAAGCGGTGTCTTTGCAGAGCATGCACAGCACGGTTTTGTGCAAAGCTTGTCACCGGTATGAAGATGCTTCCCATACCTTGCCTACAATGTCATTTCATAACAACCGGCAAATGCAGCATGCACCTGTTCCGCTGTCATCAGCGCCGTATCAGACGAACAAATAAAATGCAAACCTGCCCTGTCAGGTCCGGGTGTCAAGCTTCAATCCGAATTTCTGATCATTGAAATAGCAGGAAACTGGACGCCGCCACCGCCCCAGAGCGCCGCTCCTCTGCCACAGCAGACAGGCACAAGCCGGCAGGGATGGCTCACGGTCGGGAAGGGCTAGGAGGAGAGTAGAGGGGCGTCGTTTTCACGGTGTAAGCGAGGGAACTCCTAACGTCGTGCGTGATATGTGAGGACCGCTTCGCTTATGACACGCAGCGTCTCTTATCGCTTGCATTACTGATTTGTCGGGTCATCTTTTCCCACCGTGAAGCACATTGTTGAGGGCTTTTGGCATCGCGACTGGGAAAAAAGAGCTCGAAATTATAGACACCTAAAGCATAGTTTCACTGTCGGTTAACACATGTTAGCCCACTTGTCCTTAGAGTTATTGTAGACTAATAACAAGACATAATTTGATCATTTGAATAGATCTTATAAATGTATATCGTCTTCTAAATGGAGATTCTGCATGAGTGAGAATGATTCTTGAATGTCAATTTCATGTCTTATCGTATATTCCAATTCCCCCCCCCCTCCTCATTAAAATGAAGAGAGGAAGACACCTGCTGAGCTGCTGCTCCAGAGCTTTCAAGCAGTGGACAATTCTGCAGCCTGTCCCTGTCAGGTCGCCCTCATGCACCTGTTAGTTAGTAAAAGTCCATCAAATAAATTACAAATCAGTTTTCATTGCTTTGCATAATGGAAAATGGCATTGATAGTTGCTGATATAAGGACAGGACCAAAGAGCCAAGAAGATTAAATGCTATGTAAAATGTAACTTTTGTCTTTTCTTTGAAAAGACATAGCCTACTGTTAAAGTTAGACATTAGGCCTACTATATATTTTACAACAAATGTCCATTTTCTGTTTCATTGTGCTAAGAAAAGTGCCCCGGCCCTCAGCCAGCATACAGCATATTCACACATCCAACAAGCATTGACCCCTGACACATTTTACATTCAGACGTATATAAGACCTTCTGTAACTCACAGCATTAAGTCAAAATTATCATACTGTTCCCTGTATGGTGAGCAGTACGTTGAATGGATGAAGGCTAAGGGGGGTGATGCATTGCACTGGTGACTCATAGAAACCGTCTGTGCTGAACGCCCTCTCTGGCACAAGTGTTCTGTTGAAATGCAAATATGCATACAGGAAAATCAATCCCTGTCATGCTCCAGTGGGTCTCTTCAGTTGGTTACAGGAAATTTAGAAATAAGCCATTCAGGGACTAATGCCATATAGGATATGTCTTAATTTATTACCATTGTAATAGATGAAGTAAACGGAACATTTGACTACATACTCATATTAAAACAATTTAGGATTACATAAGTACAACATATGTGTAAGATGCCAAAGTCACTCCAAGAAGTTGTGAATAGATTTCTCCACATGGGGGCGACCATATACCATCATCACACTCATGACCATGAGGACAGTGTACAATGGACTGTGTGGGCTGTACATGCTTTACCCTTGCATTCAGCCCCACAAAAGCATTTCATTTGCTACATTTTTAACTGTGTATTTTCACATGTCTGCTGGTAGTTTCAGCACATAAGAAAAAAACATCACCAGACTTCCATACATGAATCATGTTGCTCCAAGCTCTGTCTCACATATAAAGCATTATCATTTTTGCAGTTGTTACATTGCAGGGCCATAAATCTCTGTTGTACTGTACCATCGAGGCATAGATGGATAAGAATAGGACTAAAGATTAAATCATGTCATCACCATGTCATATGACATGTCTTTACACATGATTTATGTTTTCTGCAGTTTTAAAGACAATACATATATATACATACATGACCTCTTCTGACTTAACCCTTGTGTTGTCTTCGGGTCAAATTTGACCCGTTTTGAAATTCTTTTGTATGAAAAATGTGGTTTTATTTCATGAAATTACACCAAAATAACATGGATGCTTCCACACTATGCTCTAAACAAACAAACAAAATGATCACTACTTTCACCGAATTGTGGGTATTTTTTTCAAATTTATTCAGTTTTTGGTCTTCCCGGGTCAGATCTGACCCGGTGTTGCAAAAGGGTCAATAAGTCACGGTGTTTTGGTTTTCAGCAGATGAACACCTGCAGGGGTCCAACAAGGTACGCAGTGGCTCGCGTTGATAGTATAACGACTGCTTTTCAACTGTTTCTGCCAGACCAAGTTGAAAAAATTGTGCTGAACATGACCAACAAAGAGGGGCATCGTGTTTATGGCAATAAGTGGAGAGAGATGGATGGGATAGCTCTCCAGGCATACTTAGGTCTGTTGATTCTCGCTGGTGTATATCGATCCAATAAAGAATCCACGGCCAGTTTGTGGCATGCCCAGTCTGGTCGAGCAATTTTTGGGGCCACAATGCCCCTCAAAATGTTCCACATTATCTCAAGGGTCATTCGGTTCGACGATCGAGATACAAGAACAGCACGCCGTGCAAGTGACAAACTCGCTGCCATTCGTGATGTATGGGACAAGTGGGTGTGTCTCCTGCAGCAGATGTACAACCCGGGAGCTGATGTGACTGTGGATGAGCGCCTGGTCCCCTTCAGAGGTCGCTGTGCCTTCAAGCAATACATGCCTAATAAACCTGGGAAATATGGCATAAAGATCTGGACAGCGTGCGATGCCAGGACCAGCTATGCATTCAACATGCAAGTGTACACTGGCAAACCTGCTGATGGACAGCCAGAAAAAAACCAGGGCAAGCGTGTGGTTCTTGAGATGGCAGAAGGTCTCCGTGGACAAACAATCACTTGTGATAATTTTTTTACATCACATGCCCTTGGCCAGGAGCTGCTCAAGAGAAAGCTGTCCATGGTGGGAACAGTAAGGAAGAATAAACCTGAGCTTCCACCAGCACTGCTTGCCACAAAAGACAGGGCTCGATATTCTTCCAAGTTTGCGTTCTCTGAGACACATACTATTGTGTCCTATTGTCCCAAAAAAGGAAGAAATGTGCTTCTGATGAGCACTTTTCATCGGGATACTGCTGTCAGCGCCAGGGAAGACAAAAAGCCCCAAGTTATCCTTGACTACAACCACAACAAAGGGGGAGTGGACAACCTTGACAAGGTATTTCACTTTTTTCATGCAATATTTATTGTCATTCATGCAAAGTCCAATTCATTGCATTATGTGTAATAAAATATAGTGTAGTGTCAATTTTGAGTTATGTATTTGTTTCTTTTGTTGCAGGTTACAAGTGTGTACACATGTAAGAGGAAGACAGCCCGTTGGCCCCTGGTGATCTTTTATAACATACTAGATGTGTCTGCCTACAATTCATTTGTACTGTGGACTGAGATCAACCCAACATACAATCAGGGGAAGTGCCACAGGAGGAGGCTGTTCCTTGAGGAGCTTGGGAGAGAACTGGTGATGCCTCTAATCAAAAGACGCCAGGTTCTTCCCCGCGCGCCAGCATCTGCTTGGTTGTGGAAATCCAGACGGATGGACCCTCTACCTCCGCAGCAGCTCCTACTAACCCAGCTGCAGCCACAAGGAAGAGGTGCCGATTCTGCCCTGGCAAGAGTGATCTCAAAACCAGCATCAGGTGCCAAAATTGCATGGCAAACATTTGCAAAAAACATGCCATTATCACCACCCACTGCCCATCATGCAAATGATAGCACATTCACACAGAGACACACAACTGCACTTACACATGTAAGTAATAAACATGTATATTATACAAGTTTTGAAATGTTGAAACTAAAGTTTTAAGTTTTAGAAATAAATGTTGACTGTTCTATGTAAATGAATTTATTTAGCTCTTTGTTTACTCTGTTATTTGTGAATAAAATTCCATCAAATGTTGACCTAGGAATATATCAGTCTGTGATTATCCAAAATAAATAATAATTTCTGCTGGTTTCCTAAAAATTTTTAAAATTTAATGTAAATGAGGTTTATTGAAATGTAAAATGAATTGGTGATTAGCTGAAATAAAGTTTGCTGACATTGTGTAACACAGAATTGGGAGATCATTTTTTACATTATGCTTTAGAAACAGGCCAACCAGACCGGGTCAGTTTTGACCCATAAGGACAACAGGTGTGTATATGTGCTACCATTAAAAATAATGCAATGCTTCTAAAACAGTATCCTGACTCAACTTTGACATATACCAGTCTGTGATAATCCATCAACAAATAGTCCTCTGATCTTAACTATTAGTCAAAAGAATTCATAATTTCTGCTTTTTTTAGCTTATAAATTTGGTATAGTTTCATAAAAATGAGACATATTGACAAGAAATTCCATCAAGAAGTGTAAAAATAGTGGTAATAAGTGGTAATGAGTTAGAATGGAGTTGGCTAAGAAGGTGTAACACAGAATTGGGTGATTAGTTAAACTGGTTGCTTTAAAACCAGGCAAACCAGACCGGGTCAATTTTGACCTGGGAGGACAAAAAGTGCATGGTTGACGGGAAGAAAACACAAGGGTTAAAGTGGCCTGACACTATGTTTTGAATGATTACACTACTAAGAGTTTAATTAAGTTTCCAGAGAAACACAATTGCCATATTTGCAGACTTCCTAGAATGCATTGTTAGAGGGAACCCCCAGAGACCCCTCTTTTTGTAGCTTGAAGACAAAGACAGGATGGAAACTTGTTGCGTGACTTTTATACATGTTAAGTTAAGTCATGATTATTTCTACTGATATTAATGAAAATAACTAACCACAGCAAGTATCAAATTCACTCCCTACAGCCACATGCTTACTTACTTACATATTATGATTCAAAATTGTCAGATATTTGTGTCCATCTAAGTCACAATTGTGAATTCAATTTGGTCATGCTGGCCCTTGACTCCAACTTTATCAATAACTGTCACAAGGTCAATGGCTTGAAGAACGCCAAGTGCATTTTATCTCGTAACTGAGGAGTTGACAGACTCCACAACAGAACAGTATGGAAGTGGAAACACAATGGTGATCCAAACAGACAGGAACTTTTCCACCAGTAAACATTTATAATCTTTGCTCTTAGTGTTCTCATTGAATTACGCACCACACCACCTGCAACAGGACGTTAAAAGCACTGTTGCGCATGTAGGGAATTTGGGACATTATTCTCTTCTAATTGGCATAAACAGATCTGAAAGACTGCAATTTTCTACTGAAGACTTGACACACTACTTGGACTGTACTGTGGAAAAAGGGGGGACCAAACTTAATTGTCAGCTATTTTAATTCCTTGATAATTCACATACAAAAGAAGAAAAAAATATAAGTAATTAGAAAAATCAGCTAGGTCCTGTTCAATTGAAACTACTATACTCATACCATAATTACTATAATACTATTGTATCACACTTGACTGTTATATTGTTGTACATTTTATAATGATATATTATTAAATTTCATCTTAGACTGTGTCTTATATCTATATTATACTATACTATATAATATTATGTTATTGCTTTTACCAATTACCAACACATTATATTTATATATTAATACAAACACAAATTCCTAATTTCTTAATAAAATTATTTATTAATCTGGTGGATAGTGTTTACATATACTAGACCTGCTGACTTTGCTGCTCCAAATTTATGTTGTCATTTTGTCTTTAATTGCCTTGTATAGTTTTTAGTTCTCTTCTCATTTTAGTTTTATATATCTGTTATTATTTATCTTTTACTATCTTAAATTATCTATGTATTTCCATCCTTGTGTTGCTGCAACAACTGGAATTCCACTGGAATTCAGTAGCATTGGGTCATGAGTGAGGAAAACGTTTTATATATCCTGAACTGATATCTGTATAAAAAAAATATGCAAACACACTGTACAGATACTTTTCTGTTGAACAAATGTACCTCTGAGAGGTTGTGCATTATGTGACACTGCAGTATGTCCTATTTTCAAGAACACCTGCTCACTTTATCTGCCATCTCCACTGAGGCTTTACTCATTTTAGGCAGAGCAAAAAACCACAGGTAGTATCATGGCTTATGCAAATGAATGTAACATCTGGATCTCCATGAAATGTTGTGCTTCTTGTAGAGTTTGTGTACCAAATCGCATTATACATGTGGCTTGTAAAACTTGGAATGTGAGCTCTCAAGAATTTCAGCAATTCACCGTAAACTGAGCGAATGAATACAACATATTTGTATTGATTTCTTACAGTGCTTAAATTGAATATTCTATTTTATCACTGCTATGGAGCGAATAGTTTCTTTAATTCAGTAAAACAACTTGAATGTGGTGATGGAATAAAAGGTTCCTGTCAGGATTTGTTGTGTGTGCTGGCAGGAACAGGTTTTAGGACCCAAATACAGGACACAGAGGCAGAACAGGTAGAGTTTCTGGGTACTTATTTAAGCCCACAGAACTTACAGCAGAGTCCAACAAAGGGCAATCCAAAAACAAGGCAGAAACAGGCAGGCAAGACACACAGCAGTGGACAAACATAGACACAAACCAGCAACAGCTGAACAGAAGTGACACACATTTAAGCACAGGCTAACAAGGAAGGCGGGAGCACAAACAGGTGATACTGATAAAGACAGCAGACAGGCAGGCAGAGAGACAGCAGGGGAAAACAGACAGATACTAACAAGTTTCAAAACACAAGGCAAGAATCTAACTGGAACTCAAAACACATACTAAATAACAGATACTGAACAGACCAATAAACAAAACTCACAGAGACCTAAACTAAACCGGGCAGATCAGACAGGCAGTGTGACAGTTCCTTTATCATTTAACTGAAGACAACCTGGACAAAGCTAAAGCTGATCTCTTGCTCTATGCCAAGTCTAACCAAAGTGAGGATCTGATAAATAACTAGACCAAAAAGTGAAAAAATGAGGAATTCCAACTGCTTTATGTAACTCTGGGACAGTCCTCAAACTCAGAAGTAAGGGCTTAGGTTAACACATTTTTGGCAATGTACACTAAAGCAATAAAAGTAAGTGTTTTAGAGTGCAGAGGCTTGGCATTTCTTGTAAATTTAAATCAATGAATGTGAGGCTGGTGAATCAGAACATATGGATGATTCAAGCAGTGCAAAGCTTAATGTTAACTTTAAGTTTCACAGCTCTAAAGTGTGTTTGATCCATTTCTGAAGTGCTCCCCCAAGCAAGGGTTCTGCTTTTTTTCCAAGCCATGCATCCATTTGTACTCTCTTCTCCCAACTGACCTAGAAATTGAGAGGTGTTGTTCATTTGCTCCTCAAAGGATATAGTGAGTGAGAGGTGAGTAGCTTTCCAGAAAAGCCTGATGGAAGGATCACCAAAATCACAATAAAACCATGAAATCAAACTGAAAGTAAAAGGTGGGGCACTGAAGAATTGTAAGTTCCAAAAGTAGCACAAAAAAGTACAGAAATGTTTTTATTTATTTATTTTACTTTCCAGGGCTCAGTAAATAACCAGGTTTGAACCCAGATGCACAACAAGCAGATTAGGTAAAAAGTTCACCCATGGTCAAAAACAGGCAAAAGGGAGGCAGAAGTCCAAGGGTCAGGAATGGGATCGTGCAGGCAGAACAAAGTTTGGAAAGCTAAGGAGTAAGGACAATAGACAATCTGGCAAGAATTGAGTGGAAATGCAGAGCTAATGACAGAAAGTGGTAACAGGGGAGCATGTAGGCAGGGAGGGTCAGGTGATAGAGAAGTGAAAGTGGGAGTGGCTGGATCTGAAGTGACAGGAGACAGGAGATGATGAATTTTATCTCTAATAATTACAATATTATCATTTACAGTTTTTCTCAATCGCTTTGGTACATTTCTCAGATCAGAAATGAAATTCTCAAAACTACTTGTTGAACCTCCACATCATCTTGTCACCTGTGCACATCATAAAAGCAATTTCTCATTGTTTTGAACATATTGCAAATGCTCTGGCACATTGATGCAAATGATTATGTACAATTGTCTGCTGTTTCCTACATTATCAATTTCTTATGTCAAGCTGATACAAATACAAAATATATTATACTGGTTCTCTGTTGAATAGTCTTACTGCCCAAAACATCGAGGCATAACTTAATTGTACAAGTCACTACATGAAAAATAGTAGAACATGTTGTCATAATCTGTCAAGCATATTTTCTATACAGTCCATTAGACCTTTTTTGTAAATCTGTTAGCATCTCAACTATTGACAGTGTGCTGAAATGACACCAGATGAACATGAAACAATTGTACCATTTGAAAAGAACGGTGACAGTGTGAAGGAGCCAGAGATGGGAACTCGAGTTTGAGACTCGGACTCGAGTCCGACTTAAGTCGCACACACTGACTTCAGACTCGACTTGGACTCGAGGTGCGGGACTCGTGAACAATGTTTATTTTTAGGAAACGTCTGATGAGCTTGCTCGGAACAGGTAGTATCAGCTGCACTCGCGCGGCCACACGTGCGAGAGGACAACAAACAGCGACAGCTACTGTGCCATTTATCATAAACTTTGGCTTTAAAAGTTCATACAACTGGAACCAAACAAAGACGCGCTGAACGCAAAATAGGTTGGTAACCTGACAGTTTAGTAAAGATGTTGAGCTCAGCATTGGCCATCTAACATTAGCTTGCTTCTTGCTTTAACTACAACCTATGGGAGGTTAACTCACGACTGTCGTTGGTTATGAAAAGATGAATGAGCATTTGTTTGCTTGCCACACTTGTGGTAGTCGATTAACGTAATCATTTACGTCCCGCTGGCTGCCATCACATTAATTATTAACGTAGGCTGCAAACAGGTTACAGGTTTATTGTTGATCACGTTATGGCAGGCTAGTTGAACGGACTCAAGAGCGGACTCGGGGCAGGTTTAAACCCAGGATTTTAAAGTTTATTGAAAAACGGGGTGCGAGAGAGGAGCAGAGGGCCAGGGAATGGAGACCTGCGCGTGGATCTCCAGGCAGGCAGTGAGCTGGGTGAGGCAGTGGCAGAATCTCCAGGCAGGCAGTGATCCTGAACACAGAGAGACAAGGTAAGTTGAACTCACAAGAAATAAACAGAATATACAACTGGAGATTTGTAGGCCGCAGCGCAAATACCACTGCGGTAAGCTGACAATCTGGCGACAAGTGAGGTGAAGAACCGGGTTGATATACTGCAGAGTCTTGATTAGTGGAATGTGGATCAGGTGTGCAGGTGGAGCGCCAGGCCCAGAGTGAGAAGCCACGCCCAGACAACACAGAGAGACAGACAGACTAACAGGAGAAACAGGGAGGGAAGAGAACATAAACACAAGGGGTCGGGGAGGAGAACTGCAGACTCATAACAGATCATGTAACGTTACAGTTTTATTTAGTTAACATTAAACTGATTTGAGAGTCTGAGGGATGTGTTGACTTACAGGAGTTTATAAGTTATCATTAGTTGTAGATACATTGCACATGGTTGTGCTCCGTAAGTGAAAAACAGGGTACAGTTACAGAATTCCTTATAGATATACAGTGTTCTAAGCAGCCTGAATGGAATGTAGCAGGTGATACAACATTCATTATAACCCACGAGAGACTTGAGACTTGACTTGGACTCTAGCTCAGAGACTTGTGAGCATGTGGTGGTGTTTCACCAATCTGGAAGAATCTCGTTTAATATGGCAAGATAGTCTTAAAACATATAGGAAAGCCCTCCGTAATGCCAGAGCAGCTTATTACTCATAATTAATAGAGTAAAATAAGAACAACCCCAGGTTTCTTTTCAGCACTGTAGCCAGGTTAACAAGAGAGTCACAGCTCTGTTGAGCCACGTATTCCTAAAGCTCTTAGTTGTTATGAATTTATTAGCTTATTTAATGATAAAATTCACATTATTAGAGACTAAATTCTTCCCCTCCTGCCCTCAATCGTTACTAATTTATCTTCAAACCTAAGAAACATCTATAAAACCCGACATTTATTTAGACTGCTTTCCTCCCTTCAATTTTTACAGATTTTCACCAACTATCGTCAATGATTTCTTATATTTTCTTATTCTTACTAATTGCATCAGACAAAGGACTCATCTTTGTACTTGTCTCGTAAGATCTTTGTGCTGCATTTAACACCACTGATTATTACATCCTAGAACATTTAATTGGCATTAAAGGAACCGCAGTGTTGGGAGTAACGCGTTACAAAAGTAACGCAATTACAGTAATGTATTGCTTTTTGCTGTAACACAAACGAATAATTAGTTATATTATAACTATCTTCAAATGACAGTAACTAGTAATGTATAATATATTACATTTTGGAAGTAACTTGCCCAACACTGAGGAACCGCTCTAATTCTCACAATTATCCGGACTACTAATCCATGCATTTGTTACTTCTAGGTTGGATAAGCCCTTCAGGACTTCCAGTTCCAGTTCCTCTCCTGTGAAATCAGGTCCCAGTTTGGGTATGAGATGCAGACACTCCACATTTAAGAATAAGCTCAAGACTTTCTTTCTTTTGTTGACAGCTTTAAATCTTACACTAAATCTTGTACTGTGCTCCTTTTTCTATCCCTCTCGATGCATTCTTATCCCATTAATGGATGTTACTAACTCAACTTCTTCGCTCTCCTGTACTTTTGTGCTTTCTTGTCTCTCTCTTCTCTCCTTTTGTCTTGTTCAGCTATAGTTTCTGCTGCTGAAGCTGTAGAGTCTGGATCTGTGGTTGCATGCCACCTAATTGCTACAATTATTTATTTATTATTATTATTATTATTATTGTTACTATCATTATTCTTGCTATCATTAATGATAGCATGGTTCTAAGAATATAACCAAGAGGAGGGCCCACATCACTCTATTAAGGGTGACATCACACAGGTTTCAGCAGGTCAGGTTAGGATTTGCTGAGGTGACACCAAAGGTGAAGAATTGAACTTTGTGGTCAATTTCCTAGGTAACCCAAGGTTGAGATGATATTTATTTTGTTTCATTACAGACAACCTGACTGGCTCTCTTTAGAGTCACTAAGTTAACTTAGTTAAGCAGAGTGTCTTGTTTTGAACCTATATCAAATAGACTTCTCACACGTGTATAGATGCCTGAATAACAACCTTATTTTGACACTTAGTGAATCTCTGTACATCTAGGAAGGATAAATATTCCCCAACAGGAAGTATCTTTCATATTTGGTTTGGTACTAAACAGTTTTCTTACTCTGTGCTGCTGTTGCCAGTCTCACCGGATGGGCTTCAATAAATAATGCTGTGTAAAGGCTCATGCACACTACATGACTTTCAGCGTGCTGTTAAGACCACACAACTTGCCTTCTTGTGACGGGAGTCTTGAAGTCGTTGTGGCGTTCACACTACGTGACTGATCGGTGACATAGGGTCACACACTACACGAGCTGACAGCGGCTGTGTCACCCGACAGCTGGTCTCCAAACCACGTTTTGTCAAGAAAACATACGTAAAATATGAAACAGGAAGTGACACGATCCTGCATACGAAACAGCTGCTGTTTGTTATTATAGATAGCAATTATAGATACAAAAAGCATGGGTGAAAGAATGGATTAGCACACGCATGTAGCAGGGAACATCTGTGCTACAGAAAGAGTTGAGTAAAAAGTGTCTTGCAGAGAAAAGTACCTGCTAGTTCTGCCAGCTGCCTGCTCTCATTGATGATTTACCCCTGATCACAGCCTGATGGTCGGTGAGCTCAACGACCAGCAAATTGGGCTTAAAATCGTGTAGTGAACTAGGCTTAAGACATCCTGATTTTCGTGAAACCTGCGTCTTCACTCACAATTACTTTCCATCACAGGGAGTAGACTGCTAATGGTGCCCCGGGCAAAATTTTAACAAGGACAAGAGTCTTTTGACCAACTGCCGGCCCCGGAGCTATTTTTTACACACAAACAACAGCTGTATTTGGACTGAAAACAGCGAAAACGGCAAAAGTAAGTTGTAACTGTATATGTATATTGGTGCATTTGTTATTATTATTATACGGCTAATAACTCTGTGATTACAGAGCGATTTATGTTGTGATATAAGCTCATTTAGAGGCTTGGTGTTTGTTGTGTGTTTCATATGGATAAAAATGGTTGGTTTGACATTCTGGCTGAGCCTCCTAGCTTCACGGAGGTGTGTGGCATATGTAGGGTGAAAAAATTCTAGATTCAGATATGGATTTCTCATTTGCATTTTGCATGAAAATCGAGCGTCCTCCCCCAGCAAGTCCGTGATTAACAGGTTTAAGGAAATTATCTCAATACTTAGTGACTAAAATATCCCGACAACTATTGGATGGATTGCCATTAATTGGATTGCCAGACATCCATGGTCCCAAGGGAATGAATTAGGTGATCCCCTGATTTGTCTTCCAGAATTGCAATTTGTCCAATAGGGGAGACTAGCAGTGTTGGGCAAGCTACTAATGTAGCGAGCTAAGCTACTAGCTACTCTACATTAAATGAAGCTTCACTACACAGAAGCTACCCCCCAGTGAAATGTAGCAAGCTAAGCTACAGCAACGTGGCAAAAGTAGCTTAGTTAAATCTAAGCTACTTTTTTATAAAATTTTTTATATCTTATAGTTAGGTTAATATACACACACACTCACACACACACACAGCATAGGCCTAGTTACAGCCCGAGCACGAACCGTGCGAGGTACCTATTGAAACTGTAAAGATTTTTCTTTTTTCTGCAAAATAAAGCTCAATTTTGGGGGCCTAAACATACTCGAAAACTCACCAAACTTTGCACACATGTCAGAAGTGGTGAATGGGTGTGACAAAATGACTCACTAGCGCCACCTAGAAAATTGGAAAAAATTAGCCCCTCGTCCATGTTCAAACGACGTGCACAAAATTTTCTGGGGACATGTATCATATCAAGACGCACAAAAAAGCCTCCAGAATCCATACCCTAAACTCAACAGGAAGTCGGCCATTTTGAATTTTACGGCAACTGGAGGATTTTTATCTACTCTGGTTTTAAATTATGACAGAATTGTTCTTTGTGGCGATTTTAATATTCATGTTGATGACCCCACCAATGTTAATGCAACTGACTTTTTAAATATGGCCACTTCTTTTAACTTCATGTCAAAGGGCAAACCCATAACCGTGGTCATACACTGGACTTGGTTTTTACCCTGGGTGTCAGCATCTGTGGAATTAGTGGACATGACCATATCTGACCACAGATGTATTGTTTTTAACTGCGATTTGCCTGTTACTCATGCCGCCTCACCAAGCTCCGTGTGTTCTCGCATCTTTAATGAACAAAGTGTTGCGCATTCTTTCAGAGCCAAAGCCAACACCTGTCTGATTCCAACACCAACAATCTGGTCGATCACTTCAATCATATCTGCTTGTTGTCACTAAATATTACTGCTCTCTAAAGGTTAGGCCTACGTCTAAAGCTAGTAAGCAACCCTGGATAAATGACAGCATTCGCAGCCTAAAAAGGGAATGCAGGAAAGCAGAGCGCAGATGGAAAAAATCCAGTCTCCAAGTCCATTACCTTAGTCTGAAGGATTTATTAATTAATTACAATAACATGGTTAATGATGCGAGAACACACTATTTTTCTGAACTCATTACTACATATAAACACAATCCCAGGTTTCTGTTTAAGAGTGTGGATCAGCTGGTAAACCCAACCCCTCCTTGTGCCTCAGCTGGAAGTAATGATGACTGTGAATTGTTTTTATCTTATTTTACCAATAAGATGGTGTCAATCAGAGCCTCTATTACCCCCGCGGCCTCTTACTCAGAGGTTCCTCATCAGCAACAAGAGAGTTTTAACCAGTTTTAACCCATCAACTTGTCTGAGCTTTTAAAAACAGTATCACAAATCAGGGTGTCCTCCAGCCCACTTGATGTAATACCTACAAAGTTTTTACTGAAATTAATAGATTCTGTTGGGCCCCATTTGATCTCTGTTTTTAACAGCTCCCTATCTACTGGTTGTGTCCCTGATTATTTTAAAACGGCTTGCGTGAACCCACTTTTAAAGAAACCTGGTTTAGATCCCTCCCTTCATCAAAATTTTAGATCAATTTCAAAACTGCCTTTTATTGCAAAGATTCTAGAAAGAATTGTGTCCAAACAGCTGCTCACTGTACTCGAAAATAACAAATTATTTCAAAAGTTTCAGTCTGGTTTCAGGAAGTACCACAGCACTGAGACTGCCCTGCTTAAAGTCACCAATGACCTTTTAATGTCTGCTGATGAAGGTATGTGCTCAGTCCTGGTACTCCTGGACCTTAGCGCTGCTTTTGACACCATTGATCACAACATCATGTTAGACAGACTGAGGCACTGGGTGGGGATCTCTGGTACTGCCCTAGAATGGTTTTCATCCTACCTGTCAAATAGGAAGTTTTGTGTGTCTGTAAACAACTATGTCTCTTCGTTCTGTCCAGTTAAATATGGTGTGCCTCAGGGGTTGGTCTTAGGACCCATTTTGTTTTCCTTGTATCTGCTTCCCCTTGGACATATTATCCATAAACATGGCATTTCTTTAAATATTTATGCTGATGACACACAAATATACTTGCCTGTCAGATCCACAGACCCTGGAATGCGTTGAATGGAATGAGTTCACTTAACAACTGACTTTGTGAAGTTAAAAAATGGATGTCAAATAATTTCCTCCAGCTGAACTCAGACAAAACAGAAATCCTGGTCATTGGGTCCCAGCAGATGGCAAAACAAATATTGCCATCTGCTGGTTCCCTAGTAAATCACATTAAGCCTGTGGCAAAGAACCTTGGTGTTTGGTTTGATAGTAATTTAAATTTCGAGCAGCACACCACAAAACTTGTGCAATCGTGTTGTGGTGGCAGCCCGGCTGACGGTGAGTGTCCTGGTTTTTTCTCCTTTTTATCAGTTTTTCTGCTTTTTTCCTTTGTTTCCTGTTCTCTGCCTGCCTCCCTGTGTTTTCTCCCCTGTGTGCTCTCTCTCTCCCTCTGCTCCTGAGCCCAGCCAACTACCTGCACCTGCATCTCATCAGCCACCTCGTCAGCCTGCCACACCTGCCAGTAATCACCTCATGACTGCCTGTATTTCAACCCCGGTTCTCCACACCATCCTTGCTTGATCGTCGTTGCTCCATACCTGGTGTCACTTCTGTGTTCAGGCGTCCATGTTTCTTGTTTTTTCACACTTACCCTGTGCCTTGTCGTTGTCTTCCCTAACCTTGTCTCTCGGCTTCCCTCCCAGGTACATTCACCCTTGTCCTCCGTTCGGCTGGGCTCATCCACTGGCCTACTCCTCTTCGGACTTCCCTCACGGCGTCCTCCCTGTTCCCCCGCCTCTCCTTGCTTCCTCGGCCCCTGTGTCCTTGGTTCCCCGTGCCTGTACTTCCCCGACGTCCTCCTCTCCCTCCACTCCAGTCCCTCTCACCCTTTTTCCCTCATTAAACCTCCTTCCCTCAGAGTGCTGCATTTGGGTCCTCTCTGTCCACACACCACACCCCGTAACACAACCGTGTTTTTATCAACTTAGAAATATAGCAAAAATTTGATCTATGTTAACTTTTAAGTTAACCAAGACCATTTTAAACGCCTTCATCTCATCACGCCTGGATTATTGCAACAGCCTTTTCACCTGTTAAACAAATCTATTGATCGACTCCAGACTGTCCAGAACTCAGCTGCCAGGCTTTTAACCAGAACAAAGAAACATGACCACATTACTCCTATTTTAGCTTCATTACACTGGCTCCCAGTATGTTTTAGAATTGACTTTAAAATTCTATTGATCACTTTTAAAGCTCTTCATGGCCTCTCGCCTTGTTATATTTCTGAACTTTTAGTCCCATACACACCAGCACGTACCTTGAGATCCTCGGGCAGAGGTCTGTTGTCTGTTCCAGAGTCTCGACTGAAAACTAAAGGGGACAGAGCGTTTGCTGTCAGGGCCCCGAGGCTCTGGAACAGCCTGCCTGAGGAAATCAGGTCAGCTGAGTCAGTGAACTCTTTTAAGTCCCTTCTTAAAACATACTTTTATAGGAGAGCTTTTCCCGATCTTATTTGACTTTATTTTATCCCTTTTATTTTATTCTATTTTAGAATTCTATTTTTATATTTATCTTAAACGTGTATTTTAGTCTTTTCAATGTTTTCTTGCTTTTATCTTGTATTGACTTTGTATTATTGTCTTTACACTTTTTAAGGCACTTTGTAACTTGTTTTTGAAAAGTGCTCTACAAATAAAGATTATTATTATTATTTATATTGGACTAACTTCTTAAAACCTGCTCCAAACAGTGTGTGTTTGTGAGAGAGAGCTAAATCAGACACACAGAAACTCTCCTACTTAGTGCTGTATTTGCAACAAACAGAGAACCATTGTTGTTTGTATAAAGTAATTTAATTATCACATTATTAATTAATTATATATTATTTTTTATTGTTTATATGTGAATTTGTGCTCTGGCAACATTCCAGCTTAAACAACCGACACATTCATGGCAATGGCCGAGAAAGAGAGAGAGAGAGAGATCTTTATTGCAGCAAAGTCACAGACATCAGCCCAAGGATCGGTACGTGATGTCACCGTCACACGGAAGCTCTTCTGCCGGCTACACATACGGCGGTGGCGTCACTTACTGATCCTTCAGAAATGCTTGGGAAAATGTAACATGTGTGGAAGCTACTGCGCTACTCGGTCAATTCGTTACTGAAAAGCTAATTGATTCAGAAAATAGCGACGCTACCACCAAGTGTTGCGTTTTTTCAGATTTTGAGAAAGGAGAGGCTCAGTCCAATGAAAATTAACAAGAAATTTTAATAAAAAAATAGGTGAATAAAAGATGGCATTACAGAACAAACAACAAAACAAAAACACTGCAGTGGACTGGAAAGTTGTTCCTCTTTTCAGATTTACAGCTTACAGTCCCGATTCTCACCAAACTAATTGTTAATATCCTCCAGGTATGTGGGCGGGTTTTTTCCTTCAAATGGCTCAGGACCAAAGCCATTGGTCATTTGGTTACTTCTTCGTCACCCAATTAGGAAGGGTGTACCTTACTGCTCTATGGTACTTTTGGTCGAACAAAAGAGCGCCAATTCCCAGACGTGAAACCCCCTTCAATCTACAGGAATAAACAGTCTTTTGCTCTAAACTAATCATGGAGAACAACAGGGCTTGTCTACAAAATGGTTAACACCCTGTCTTAAGTGTCAATGAAACAGTCAAAAAACTGTCCTTCTGGCACTAAACAAAGAGGTGTCAGTTTTCTTTACATTACAAAGAGGATACAAACAATGGTTTAATCAACATTCTAATGAAATTGTCTGGCCTAAAACCCAGCAGGTTTACATTTGAAGAAAGCACTGAAACACTGGAGTACATTAAGTTTTGTTGTAACTTTTTAAAACTCAACAATCCCTCCTTTCACACCATTTATTGGTGTGAAATTACTATTAGACTTAGCATATCTTCAATTATGTCATTGAAAATTAAAACATTACATACACATCAAAATATGATTCCAAAGATTCTAGACATTTTAACAAAACAGAAGTTGTAAACTCAAATCATGATTTATGCAAAGAAATCATCTTCTTCCTTTCTGATCTCACTATCTGACTCTTCATCTTGCATTAAATGTGCCATTTCTCTTAGCACAAACTGTCCCTCACGTTCCCTTGTTAACGCTGTGGTGATAAGCCTATTGGCTAGAGTTCTAATGCAGGGAATGCAGCAGCACCCACAGAGCACAAGTATTGCACACATTATTGCTATTGACAGGATGATGCTGTGGAAAAAAGCTCTGTATTCTCCAAACATGGAGTTGAGGATTTCGAACGGTGAATCTACACCACTATTGTCAGCCAGTTCTTCACTTAAAGTGGTGAGTCCTTGAAGCGCCCGTGTGACAGAGCCATCAGGTGCTGTGTTATTGGGAATGTATGTGCAACACACAGATTTGAACATTTTGCAGACTCCTCCTTTTTCAGCCAAAATCATGTCCAGAGCTATCCTATTTTGATATGTCATCAGTGTGGTTTTGTCTAACTGTTCGTGCAGTCCTTTTATAGCATCTCGGGTGAAATTAACAAAACGTTGTTGGTTATAATATATGTAGTTCAGCCAATCTACATTTTTGTTAATGGTTGGCCAGAGAAAAATGGATTCAAATCCCGCCCCAATTTGACATCTGGCCTTGTATTCGTCAGGAACTCCTCGAGGTACCCCTATGGGGTCAATGTATATTGTTGAGTCAAAGCTACCTTTTGGCAATGCTCTTTTAGTTTTTTGTATTTGAGTGTGGGGGCTGGCAGCTGCTGTAAGTAAATCTCTGCTGTTGAATGGCAACGCATAGAATGGCATTACTAATTGAATCAGGGCACAAATGCCAGTCCAGTTTAACGGCAGGGTTGGATACAGAGTCTTTTTTCCACAAAACCACCAGACATCAGCTCTTGCGGTGTGCATTCTACCTAAAGCTTGAATAGTAGTCTGATTGATGCCTTTATTAATGGTGTTACAGCTTGTGAGATTACCTACTATTATCCCACGATTATCTGAACGGTGAATGCATGAGTATTGTCCCTCATAAGGGATGAATGGCGGAGGTGTTGTACCTCTATTAACTTCAGGATATAGTAAGTTTAATGAGGTGCAATTTTGCGCAGTTTGTTTCAGATAAAAGTGTATCATGCAGTTATATCCAATGGGATCATTTAGTGGATTGAGCGGGAATGGCATGGTGCCTAACAGGGGGCGGGCCGAGGCACAGGTAATACAGTCTGACATGTGGTGTATTTTTGCTGAATATCGAACCCAATCAAGCCAAGTATTTTCATCACTGTATCCTGTTTCTATTGCAATTGCTTGTCCTGGATTATTATTATCTAAATAGGTAACTAGCTGTGGGTCCTTTATATCGAGTGGTGTATCATTGGTTGTGGTAAATGGTGAGCGGCTAGGAGTGAAAAAGGCATTATTTTGTGTGTTTGATGTAATAGTTGTTTTCTTGCTGACCTGTATGCTAAAATGCCCCAATGGATCTTCCCCAGCTTGATAAGCCCCCAGCACATAGACATCGGTATCTGTGATCTGCGGATTCTCCAGGGTGAGAAACAAAGGGTTGCATTTATCAGTGGTACAATCACTAGGAGGGGAAGCCTTAAACATTGAGAGTCTATGTTTTAAGGGCATTTTTCCTTCTTTTGCTGGGGGGGTATATCCCCAATCATGCGGTCCCGTGTTAGCAATTACATAATCCCAATTTGTACACCATCTGTCCATGGGGAGATTTGCTGTATGATAGACCTCACACACATATTTTTCAGACCATACATATGCGACCTGACTTCCACTGCAGTCCACTACTGAACAAAAGTCGAATTGAGCGGCTCCGGTTTCACCTTCTGTAAATTGTAACGTTAGTATGGGTTCAGCAATCCTCCTGGATCTTCTAAATCTTTTGTGATTTAAAAAGGAATTTGTACTGTTGGGTGGGGTAGAGTTTGCTATGCGTACGGTGCCAATGGGCTGAATGGGAGCTGAGGATGACCTGTTTTCAGGAGATGAGACTAGGATTATTGTTACAACTAGAGAAATGATTATGGCTAAAATTGTTATGGTTCCCTTTACCCCACAAAACTCTAGGTGCCTGAATTTATTCCCTCCCTTGAATTCCATTTATTTATATATATATATATATATATTATTTTTTTTTTTTTTGTAAATGTGGAACTAAAAAAGAGAAAACAAACTAAATACAATAAAAACGAAGAATTATTGAGTTTTAAGTAAATGTGGAAGAAAAAAAGAAAACAAACAAAAAATAAAATGTAAACAAAGAATGATTGAGTTTTAAATGAACTACCAGAGTCAAATTTCCTGGATCTGCTGTGTATAATCCTAATTCATAATGCCAATCAAAAATCTATTTTTGTTTCACAGCGTGGCCAAATCAGTTCTAACCTCCTCTATTGATCGGGAGGGGGCTTGAGCGGGTGTACAATGTGTAAGGTGGTGCCAATTAGCTCCTGCTTTACCTCTAATTTTCAGGGCGTGGGTGGAGTGCTCAATCACTTCCCACGGTCCTGTCCACCTGGGTTCAGCCCACTTTCTCTTGTGGACTTTCACCCACACCCAGTCTCCAGGCCCAACAGGAGTCTCTGTTTCGTTCCACGGTGCTTTGGTAGCAGTTTGGACCTGTGAAGACAAAACTCGAGTAAGATTAGCAAGGGCTTTCATGTAATCTCCTACTTCTATCTGCCATAAGTCCAACACTGGACCCAGACCTCCATCTCTGGGTGGCCCTGGCATTGGCCTGCCTGTCAACAACTCGTGGGGAGACAGGTGAGTTTTGCCACTCTGTGATGTTCTCATGGACATTAGAGCCAGGGGCAGTGCATCTACCCAGTTCATTTTGGTGTTATGACAGGCTTTGGCAATTTTTCTTTTCAATGTTTGGTTAGCTCTCTCCACCAATCCTTGTGAAGATGGGTGGTACACTGAACCAAACTTATGCTCAATGCCAAAATATTTCTCTACTTCACTCAACTTCTGGCTAGTGAAGTGTGATCCATTATCTGATCTAATGCACCGGGGGACTCCATATCTTGGTATCAGTTCGTTTTTTAGCCATTTTACCACTGAGTGTGCATCCTCTTTTTACATGGGATAGCTTCAATCCATTTGGTATAACGGTCTACCATAACCAAAATGTATCTGTGCCCTCTTACTACATTATCTGCCCCCATGTCTGTAAAGTCTATACAGATTTCTTTAAATGGAGCATCTGGAACCGGAAAACGTCCCATTGGACATTTGTAAGGTCTCCTGTCATTGAAAGCATTGCATTTCCCGCAGTCGTTAATAAAGTTTTCTACTATTTCTTTCATGTAAGGATGCCACCAATGAATCTCCACTCCTTTAGTGGTTCTTTTCCTACCAACATGGGTGGGTCCATGGGCTTCTTTAATTAATAAATGACAGAGTTCTGCAGGTGCCACCAAACGACCATCATGTGTTCTCCAAATACCTTCATCTGTTTTATTTGCGCCTTTTGAAAGCCACTGGTTTTGTTCATAGGGGCCTGCCTGTTCTTGCATTCTCTGTATGTGTTCTTTGGTTAGTTCGGGGCTGTTCTCTGTCTGTAGACATATCAATTGTCTGTTATAACCTCCTGCTTGTTTAGCTGCTTTGTCTGCTGCATCATTTCCTTTAGCTACAGGTGAGGTTGAGTTTTGGTGACCTTTGCATTTTATTACTGCTATCTGTGTAGGGAGTAAGATGGCTCTGAGAAGGTCTTGGAGAGCACCGGCGTGTTTGACTGGAGTCTTTTGACTGGTCAAAAATCCCCTCCTTAGCCATTGTGGGCCATCTATGTGTACTGCGCCATGTGCATATGCTGAGTCAGTGTAAATGTTTACTCTCTTGTCTTTCCCTAGTTCTAAAGCTTTGGTTAATGCAATCACTTCAGCTAATTGGGCAGAAGCTGGTTGGGGAATGATGGCAGAGTTTAGGGTCTCAATTTGCTGTCCCTGTTGTTGCACCACTGCATATGAGGCTACATTTCCCTGTTCTCCTCTGTAGCAGCAGCCATCACAGTACAATGTGATTTCTGGATTCTCCAGCGGGCTTGCTTGCAGGTCTTCTCTGAGCTTCAGGTCTTTTTGTGCTACAAATTCACAGTCATGTGGTACATGTTCTTCTGAATTCAGTCCGTTGGCCATGTTTGTTCTTTCTGTTTCATAACTGATGTGTGGTTGGGTCAGGATGTCAGAAATCTTGATTTTTCTGACTGGGGAGAAAGTAAATGCTCTGGAGCTTAAGAATGCAATTACTCCATGTGTAGTGTTGATTTTCAGGGGATGGCACATGACCACATGCGATGTTTTGTCTATGGCCTTAGTCAGGGCTGCTAGATGTCTGGCACATCCTGTTTGTCCTTGTTCAATATTGTCCAATCTGGAACTGTGATACATTAGTACTCTCCTCTCTCCCTCCTTTTTCTGAAACAGAACGGCATTCACAATGCTTCCTGTTTCTGAAACATCAAGATAGAATGGCTGGGTGTAGTCTGGGGAGCAGAGGTGTGCTGCTTGTCCTAGCGCTTGTTTGGTACGGGTGAAAGCTTCTTCTCCTTCTTGGGTCCAATCAAGGGTAGCAGTGAGATTTCGATTTCCGGCCACTGACAACATTTCCCTGAGTGGTTGTGTGAGCGATACATAATCTGGCACATGATTTCTGGAGTATCCTGTAAGTCCAAGGAAAGCAAGCATTTGTTGCACAGTTTTTGGCTTTCCATGTGAGAGAATGGATGTTCTTTGTGATGATGTCAGAGTGAGGCTGTTTGCAGAAATTAGTCTTCCCAAGAATGTAACTGTTCGTCTGCATATTTGTGTTTTTTCTTTTTTGACTTTGTATCCTGCATTGGCAAGGAGTATCAAAAGATCTGTAGTACTTTTTAGGCATGCTTGTGCTGATGGACTTGCTAACAATAAGTCATCGACATATTGAATTAGGACAGTTCCTGATGGCAGTTGGAGATGTTTCAGATTTTTTCTCAATGCTTGGTTGAAAAATCCTGGGCTGTCTTTGTAACCTTGCGGCATACGGTTGTATGTGTACTGCTGTCCTTTGTAGGTGAAGGCAAATATGTCTTGTACTTCTGGGGCGAGAGGCAGGCAGAAGAATGCGTTGGCTAGGTCAATGACACTGAAGTGGGTGTGGGTGGGGTTCAGATTCTGTAAAGCAACATAGGGGTCTGGGACAGGGATGTTTGCGGTGGTAGTGGCTTGATTAATTTGTCGTAGGTCATGTACCATTCTCCATCCTTTGTTTTCTGCTTTTGGGACTGGCAATATAGGTGTGTTCCATGGAGATTGAGTTGGCCTTAATACACCTGCTGTCAGTAATCCCTGTATGGTGTCGTCAATCCCTTCAACTTGTTCCTGTTTCAGTCTGTACTGGGGTTTCCAGCAGGGTAATTGTTGTGGTCTTAATTGGACTGTGATCTGATGGGCGGGGACACATCCTACATCATAAGGATGTGTGGTCCACACTTTCTCTGGGACTAGTGAAAGACACTGTTCTGCATCTGGTGGTTAGTATGTTCCCTTCCATGATCTCTGTCCAACTCCTGCTTTTCCAGTATTCCAATATCTGTTCCAGCATGCTTAATTTTCCACATAGTTCCATCTGATGAGCGGAGCACTTTTGGGACAGTGGTTTGTTGCCAGTCTTTAGTTAGTGCTGTCTTTATCATGGGTCCTAGTGATCTTGCTTCATATCCAACTCCTACAGCAAGGGTTACATGCGGCTCACTTTCATGTCCCAGAGTATACCAGGTTTTCTGTTCAGGAGTCAGTTCACAGTATGCAGCGACACCTTGTGGTCCCACATAGATGTCAGTGATGGACAGTTGTTCAGTCATTTGTTCTTTATCTTCTTCCCATGCTTGTTGGTATTCCTCGTCTGGTCTGCGTTGGTAGTTGTAGGTACAGTGTAGGGGATCCAGGGGAGGCCCGTATGGGCCCAGTGTGTTGATCCATGGTTTCCATTCCATGTAGTGTCGCTGTATTTCTGGTGTATCGATTGTGGTGCTGCACAGTCTGATCCAATTAACCTGAGTGGTTTCTAGTGGTGTGTCTTGTTTTGTTTCAGGCCCCATCATGAGAATTCTGTGTCCATGTTGTAAGAGAGTATTTGTTGGTTTTTGTCCTGGAAGATGTACAATGAGTCCATCTGTGGTGCACAGAATAATGGCTCCAATTTTTACCAGAAGGTCTCTTCCGAGTAGGGGTATGGGGCATTTGGGGGCATACAGGAATGAGTGACGTAGGGTTTGAGCTCCTACTGTAATGACCAATGGCTTTGTGTAACTTTGTTCTTCTGCTTTTCCCGAGTATCCAACTGTCCGTAGAGTTTTTGAGGAAAGAGGAGGAACCCCTCCTTTTATTTTTATGAGGCATGAAGCGGTTGCTCCACTGTCGACCATCATGTCAATTTGTTCAGACTCTATTATGCAGGTGACCATTGGTTCAAGGTGAGGTGGGGTGGGAACACCTGCAGTTGGATCCTCTGGGCCTCTTCATTGTTCTTCTTCCCAGGCAGTCATTGGCATCTGGGAATAGTTGGGTGGCATGTTTCTCCCCCTTCCTCTCCCTGTGTTTAGTGGTCCTGTTCTGTTTGTGGATTCTCTTCCTCTCCATCGGCCATAAGGCACTGGTGCATGTGGACTCCCGTCAGGACAATCTTTGGCCCAGTGTGTGAGCTGTCCACAGGTGTAGCAACCAGTGAATCCTCTTGGCATGGGTTTATGTTGTCCTGTCGATGGTGCTTTCTGGTGTTGCATGGGGTGTGGCTTGGGATGAACTGATGGTATGGTTGGCCATGGTGGCCATGTGGGTGTAGGTGTGGTTTCTACTGGTGGCCTTTTCATTGCTGCAGCTACGGCCTGTTCAACCGCGTCTTGTATTTCTCCTGCAAATGATCCCATTATCATTTGTTTTTCGGGTTTATTTTTCTTTGCTTTGTTTATAATGTCTTCTTTTTCTGCTACTTGCATCTTCAGCAGTCTTTTGTTGAGGGCCTTTAACTCTTCATCATGTTCATCCTCTGTTTTGTTATATCTGCTACAGTGATGAGTCAGTTGGAGTCGCCAGTGTTCTTCATCCATGATGTTGAGTCCCGCAATGTCATTCAATTTGGCTTGGACTGCTAATGGGAGAGCCTTTATCACTCTGTCTCTGTACAGCATGCGATTGGAGGTGGAGTGATCATAGCGTTCTCCAGTGCTTTCCAACCATTCATCCTCACACCTTCTTAGAAAGACATGCAGCTCCTCATCAGGCATCTTTTTAAGGCTGTCCAATCCAGTAAGGGATCTTAGTGTAGGGAATTTATCTCTTACTGCCTCCCAGTAGACATTTCTGTATCTGTTGAAAGGTGTGTCATCTGCTTCAGTGGTGCATCTGGCTATTCCATCCAGTTCCCGGACTCTAATATTTCCTTCTATACGTCTTATGAGTGCTCTTATGTCTCCCAAACAGAGCTGGTCTCCTGCTGTGTATTTCTCACATTCGATGATCCATCTTTGTCCCCCTTTTTGTAGTGGTGGCAGTTTGGTCACTAATGCTTCCATGTCCCTGTGTTTCCAAGGCTGGTAGATTGTTGCTCCTCCTCCTACAGCCACCAGGGGGTATTGTCCTTGTGTTGTGCTTTCTATGTGTGATCGGGTGTGGCTTGAGATGGGACTGGTCAGGACTGCTCCTTCAGATGTGGGGGGCAGGGCAACCTTTACTTTGCCCCTTAGTCTGAGTGTACATGTTTTGTTGTCCTCTTCTTCTGACTCTGAGGAATCACTGGAGGTGTCCCCACCTTTTTCCTTCCTCTCAGGATGTGTCACACATTCCTTCTTCTTCCTTTCATTTTCTTCTTCACATTCTACATTGTCCTTCACTGTCATAACCAGTCCTATGTTTTTTAGGCTTTTTCTTACTCTTCGTCTTTCTCTTCTCCTCTTCTGTTTGTCTCTGCCTCAGTCTCTGTCTTTCACTTCCCAGCATGGTGGCTTCCTCCCTGAGCCTGAAGGCTCCATCTCCAGTGCACTCATTATCTCTACACATTTGTCCTTGATCCGGGGTGGAGAAGGATGGATGCACAGGGCTTGTCACTGGCGTTCTGGTGCCGCCACTTCCTGTTCTGCTTGTTTCCAGTATGCTCTGGGTCTCGCTTATCATTTGCTGTGCGTTTTGGGCCACAGCCAGAACCTCTGATATCACCTCATTCAGTTTTCGGTTTGCATCAGGAACTCCATCAACTTCCAGGACTCCTCCTGTTACCTGCATTAAGGGGGCTTGTACAGGTGGACGAGAGGGGGTAGGGAGCCTGGGTTGAGACAGCATGTATGGTGGGGGGGCAGTGGGAATCACTGAATGTAGTCTAAGGTCCTTAAACTCATTCTGCTCTTCCTTGGTGGTGTCTGAGTTGGCCTCTTTCTCTGAGCAAGCTCCACTGGGCTCTTCTGGGATGACATGCTTCACGTACATCAACAACTGAGAGACACGTGCCATACGTTTTGCAGCCTTGTCAAGGGCTCTTTTTGTTGATCCAAATCTTGGTTCTCCTTTCCTCTCCCATTTTGTTTGAGCTTTGGACGCTTCTCCTCTTTCATATCCTATTATCTGTGTTCTGTATGCTCCAGTAGGACATGGGTCTGCATCTCCTGGGATCAGTCTTCTGTCCTGCCAATCCATCCAAATTTTTTCCAGCTTCTTTTTGTTTTTCTTCTGTTTCTCTTTTCTGTGGCTGCCTCAATTTTCTGGAAAATCTTATTCTTCCAGTCTTCTGTCGTAATGCTAGAGGATGGCTGCAGGGGTTGTTTGTCTGCCATTTTGCTAATTTGTCTATCCCTGACTTCTACAAATCAGTTTATGTCTTACTCTTTTGGTGTTTGGTGTGTACTAATACTAGAAATGAAATGGTATAACAGAAATAACAAAATAAACGATAAATGTTAATTATGTTTTTGATGACACTTGCTTCTGGATTTTATATGATCTGGTTTGCAAATGCTCACTATGACAGAAAACTCACAAATCAAAATTTTTCGTTTTTTTTTTATTATCTGTATTATAAAGGTAATACAAACATTAAAAACAATTGGTAAACTTTATTTAACTTACTGTCTGTTTTTATTTTTAAATTTGGATGTAATATTTTCTGACCACTAGTGGATCCTCTAGTAGCCCTGTTGGCATAAATGAAGAAATAAAAATAACTACAGTCCTTGTTGTAATGATTTAACTTCTCCACACAATGGAGCCACTGCTAGTCTACCACCCAAAGAGAGAGAGATCTCTTTGTTACAATGTAATGCTATCTGAATATTCCCACCCCGTGCAAAAATTAATAAAACGTGTATGGTACTGATTGTTTTCAACTCAATACCCCTCAGAAGCAGTCAAGAGAGAGTCATAAGAGTTGAATGTCTGTATCAATCTCTCAACAAAGTTTTTTCAAAGCACAAACAAAAAACAAAACATTGCTCAGTCACTACAAAACAGTGTTTTGAGACACTGCTTTGTTTAAAACACAATGCTTGAATAGCCTCCTTTTGACTCCTGATTTCAATGCAGACAATCCTTATTTACAAAGATTTTACTTAGTTACAGTATGTACAGACCTATATTCAATTGATACCTATTTTCACACACACAATACTAGGCTCACTCTTGTGACCTCGGACCTCGGAAGGTACCGAACCTTCATACAGGTTTTCCACACTTAATACTAGGCGATACAAAAGGAACAAGACGGCGCTTCTCCTTTCGGTACCCCCGAAAAAACCCTGAATTTTCGAAACTCTAGGTTGCGCAGAAATAGGTAGACGGCGCTACTGTTTTCTGTACTCCCAAAAGACTCCGAAAAATTCAGAGAATTCTCGACCTACATACAGGTTTTATTTTTTACCTCTAGGATCACAAAGGCAGAAAATGAGAGGTCTTTGTATGGGACTAAGAAGCCGTCGTCACCGCGCTTCCCGTTTACCAACCCCTACTCCCTCACAGGGTTTCACCCTGGCTTTTTCAAAAAGACTTATTCCCGCCTTCGTGCCTCACAGAGACTGTCTCTGTCGCCGGCCCCACGGTCTTTCTATTTAAAATTTAACTGGGTCTAACCAGGCCGTCCGCCACGGACTTCTAATGTGCACTATTTACCATGGACCTTCATACAGGCTTTTAATCTTTAAATAACCAATAACATACCATGGACCTTCATACAGGCTTTTAAGCTTCAGACAAACAATAACATACCATGGACCTTCATACAGGCTTTTAAGCTTCAGACAAACAATAACATACCATGGACCTTCATACAGGCTTTTAAGCTTCAGACAAACAATAACATACTATTGTTCTATATTGCCATCTCGAATGATATTTAACAATCGGTATTTTCACTTTAAATCACTTTAAAATATTAACGGACTTACGGAGTAGACGCTGCTTGATTCTCACACCTAAAATCTCCTATATAACCTATACAGAGTTTTGATAAAACAGGTCTCTGTTCTTACCTTTCGATATTTGGGCCCGTGTGAGAATCAGGCAGTCGTCCTTCTCCGGCTGAAGTTTTGTCCTGTCCTCCTTTTCTCAAAATCACGTCGGGGTCACCAATTGTTGCGTTTTTTCAGATTTTGAGAAAGGAGAGGCTCAGTCCAATGAAAATTAACAAGAAATTTTAATAAAAAATAGGTGAATAAAAGATGGCATTACAGAACAAACAACAAAACAAAAACACTGCAGTGGACTGGAAAGTTGTTCCTCTTTTCAGATTTACAGCTTACAGTCCCGATTCTCACCAAACTAATTGTTAATATCCTCCAGGTATGTGGGCGGGTTTTTTCCTTCAAATGGCTCAGGACCAAAGCCATTGGTCATTTGGTTACTTCTTCGTCACCCAATTAGGAAGGGTGTACCTTACTGCTCTATGGTACTTTTGGTCGAACAAAAGAGCGCCAATTCCCAGACGTGAAACCCCCTTCAATCTACAGGAATAAAC